TCTGTCATCGAAAACACAGAGGAGGAGATACAGATCCACCGTAGGGAGGTTTGGTGTTGCAGACCTTGGCCGCCGTGAGGGTGGGTGGGAACGCGACGGAGACGCGTCTGCTGTGGTTCCCACAGTTTATTACTATCCTGGTGTAGTCGTAATAAATACGTGTGTGTGTATGTTAAAATTGGCCTCGGTTTCCCATTTCTATGAATGACTGTTATTATGGTCGAGTATTCTAGCAGAAGTACAGTGCGTGGACACAAAGAGAAGACAGCGAACGCGGACGAACCACTAAGTACCGGTCCTGATCCGAAGGAAGCTACGCTACACAAGGACCCCTGAGTGCTCGGGCGTTACAAAGTAAACACAGTGTGATAAAGACCCCGGCAGCAGACACATTATCACCACCACCATCACCAGTGTTGGACAGTAGGGTCAATCGAGTTCGGTAATTAATTGAGGTGCTCAACGTCAGATGTTTTGACACCGGCGAAAGTGTCATCGACATAACGAGTTTAAAACTTCGGTTGATACTTTGGGAAGACTAAGTCTTCTATCCGTTGGAGGACGACATCGATAATCAAGCCTGACAAAGGGGAGCCTACCAGGGTACCTTTAATTTGTACATAGAGTTGTCCATCAAATGTGTGTGGCAGATTTTAAGACAGTGTCGTAGAAGTTCGAGCTAGTGTTCAGACTTCAGGGACTTGTCCCTGTGGCCGTAGCGTGCGGTTAGAAGTTGTCCTACACCACGATTCCCCAGGTACCGTTGGAGAGAGGCAATGAGTCAAACGACATCAAAAGATACCATGGTTTCATCTGGTTTCAACCTCAAATGTTTTCTCCGTTCAAGGAACTGTTTGGTAGAAGCTATGATTGTTGGTGAGCCTACCGGTAGACACTTAAGGTGAGAAGATTACCGACCCGAGGGGGAGGGGAGGAGAGGCAAGGTATATAGACCGTGAGTGTTGTAAATGTTGCCCAAGACAAGATATCACCGTCTAATAACGCTGTGTGCGAGTTCCCGAGGAGCAACGCAATAAGAAGAGCTCGAAGGTGAACTTCTTTTAGCGTACTTACTACAATCTATTTAAGGACTAAGCAAATGCGTGTACAGCCATGTCCATGTCCACAAATAAGACACTGTCCTCGAGCGATTAGCGACTCGATTGGCTTGTGACTCATCTTGCTAGCTTGTTTGAGCCGTAGCCCGGCCGCAGATCTAAATTATGAATTATTAGGTAATTCTACTCCGATCTGTTTCAGGATGTACCCACCCTGGATCATTGTCATGATCATTGTCATTGTCAGTTCATAATGAAATTATGAATTCTTTATTGATTGCCAATTTACGTACGCTGCGTGTAGGTGTAGGAGCGTCATAAAAGTGTTACCAAAATTCCACCAGACGCATTTTTGCACGCTCTTGTGTAGTAACAACATCCAAACACACTGTTTTTAGTACATAAAAACGTATAGCTATGTTGATTAATTATTCGACCTTCTGACTAATCCAGTAATCAGTTTGGTTATGTAACTGTATTGGGTGTAAACTATATATCCACCTATGATAGTTGGCTTCGTAGGCCTGGTCTTTTTTATTATATGCTCACATTATCCTCTGCGGAGCCAGTCTTCGCAGCCATCTTTTCGTTCCCCCTCCTTGCCAACTCTTGACAATCCTTGATGCGTTCTTCCGTTTTACAACCATGACGGTGGCCTTTGCGGTCTCTGTTGACGATCATGGCGGGTTTTTCTGTTTTCGCCCCATTGGCGATGGACTCTACAGTCAACAAGGTGGCATCTCCGGCATTTCGGAGATGATCTGGTTATCCACACTATCCCCTCCCCGTCCGTTTCGTCTCTGTTGTCCGCGATGATCTCCTCCTGCCTCACTTCCCTGATTGTTGAACCTGTACTTTACTTGTACTTGATCCGATTAGTTTCTCTTGTTGGATGAATCGGCTTCACAGATGTCACGGATAGCGGCGGCCCATTTGCGACGATCGGAAGCG